TTACGCCCCAAGATCTAAATTAGAAGAATTATCTAATTTATATATTTAATCATCTATCAGAGCTTCTATAATTCATCAATATAAATTAATATATCCAGCTATTTGCAACTATAGGAATGTGCAATCAATTAAATTATATTTTTGGGAAAAAATTAATATAAACTTTCAATTTTTTATTTTGAAATTGAACACGTCATTATGAATGATATATTATCTCAGGATGTGAGGTTGCCATTCTCTAATGGGTTTAGTTTATAAAACTATAAATTTTATCATAACTATCATAATCAAATTCAAAAAGGAACTACATATGATACCAAAAGGTCAAAGTGATGTTCGATCACATTTTAACAATAATAATTAGGATGTTTAATCGTTGATTTTCGTTGTTAAATTCAAGAAAGGGCTACGTATAACCCCAAAGGGTTAAATGATGTTCGATCACATTTTTAGCTTTGATATTCTAGTTGTATTATCTTTAATTTTATAATCAAACTTATAACGATAAACGATATATCTTTTCAAAGAAAAATATATATCATTTATTATTAATCATTTGAATATGATGATAATGATTATTTTTTATTTTATTTTTTTCTCAAAAGAATAATATTTCCGCTTCCTATTTAGGAGGAAGTAAATAGAATGGGGTCCATTTTATCTGAGTTCTTAAATATTCTAAAAAAGCAAGCCTTTGTAGTTAATTATATTGTAGGTAGGTTAGACTTCATATGAGTACTCTCAATTAGAATAATATTTTAATAATTTTATTTAGATATTTTAAGGAGTGATATGAAAGGATGGATGTTAGAATTTTTAGATGGGATTATATCAAATTTTGAGCATTTATTTTGGAAGCTAAATGATGAGAAGTAAGAGGCATTTTGTGACTCTGAAACAATTCAGAAATGCCTTAATTTATCCTATGTTTACGCTTTAATTTTTGGAGGAGAGAAAATTTAATTTGAGTTGATATTTTATTAGACATTTATAATTAAATTCCTGATATTGAAGACTCAAGATTTTGGGTCTGCCCTAGAATTAAGATCTAAGTTAAATCACTACATCAACTCAAACTTAACTAATGAGATGTAATTTTAGGCTAACATCAGCCTTAATTAGAAATTAAGCTAACCTCCTAGGCGCTTTAAAATTATGATTTTGGTCTCACGAAAGATGGATAGGCTATTTATTAAGTTTTTGGAATTTTAGAGCTGACATCAAGAGAAATTCCTAAGTAGCTCCTTTACTTATGAATGGTATGGCTATATGCTTGATGCAATTAAAATTTAACTAAATTTTTATTTATTCTAATGCAATGCATGTAAATTGACTTTGTATGCAAAAATGGCATGTTGTGAACTTTAAAAATAGGCATAAAAAATAGGTTTTTCTCTAAGGAGCACATCATTCCCTAAACATAACTACATCCTTATAGGTCATGTTGTGAACTTTAAAAATAGGCATAACAAATAAAAGAGACATCCTCTTCCATTTTAACGACAAGACGTTGTGCTCAAATGAGGCAAGCGACGTCTGTCCGAGGTTTGATTTAGCGGGATATCGGGGATCTCGATATAGTGCGTCATCAAAAGATACGAGGTAATATAGTTTTAGTTTGAGTTGATTTTTAATTTAACATAAATTTTGACTTTTCAATTAATTTAATTAATAATATTGATAATAATTTAATATTATTATCAATATTATTGATTTGGAATGGCAGACATTTGTCAATCACCAAAAAATGAATTGATCTGCTCATGATTCTCTCGATTTACATTCAATTGCCTCAGAATCCGTGTTGATCTGTGCTCGTGATTTTTGTTGGTCATAATTAAGGTTGATTTTGGATAATTCCGACATTTCAGATGCAACATGAAAGTCCCTTTTGCGATCAGACATCATTTGGGAAATGTTATTCATCAATTTCCTTGATTTATGCATTTTGCCTTGGGATTCATTTCATCACCTCGGACGGCCCCAATTGAATAGGTTGATAGTAATTTTTGGGTGTTGATGATGTTCTGAATCCAACGAACAAATCTATTTGCGATTGGACGTCATTTGGGTGACATCGAACTTGCACGGTGTTGCCTTGGGATTCATGTTGTCACCTCGAACTGCCCCAATTGAACACGTTGTTGATGACGTTCCAGAACTAACAGTGAAATCCTTTTCGCGATCGGACGTCATTTGGGTGACGTCGGGCTTCAACTTTGGATGTCGGTCTTCCCTTCGGACTGATCTTGTTCGATTTGACTGTGAGGGATCCCCTCTTAGGCAAACTCGTCATCTTGATTGCAGGGGCACAGTCTGTTTAGCAATCAGTGGTCGTTTGACCCTTCAAGTGATGTGTCATGTCGATGTGGGCGTTTCTTAGATCGCCGATTTTGCCCCTTTTGTGTATGGTTTGATGTGTAGGGGTTAACAAGTTTCTCAAAATCAATTTGGATTAATGTTGGGTAGGTCTACTATGGATGTTATGCATTTATTGAGAGGTTTGATGGAGAAATATAAAGATAATAAAAAGGATGTACATATTATATTTAATGATTTAGAGAAAGTATATGATAAAGTTCCAAGAGATTTGCTATGGAGAGTTCTAGAAGAAAAAAAAAAGAGTTAATAATGCCTATATTCAAGTCATTAAAATTATCTATGTGGGAGTTGTTACTTATGTTCAAACACAAGGTGGTTTTACCAAGTATTTTCCTATATTAGTTGCATTATATTAAAATATTCTGCTTTAAGCCCTTATCTTTTTGCTTTAGTTATGAATGTTCTTACTAGAAATTTTCAAGAGTATGTTCCTAGGTGTATGCTTTTTGTTGATGATATTTTCTTGTTGATAAGGCTAGAGAGGGAGTTGAAAGAAAACTTGAATTATGGAGGTCAACCTTAGAGTCTAAAGATTTTTGTTTGAGTAGATATAAAATCGAATACATGGAGTGTAATATTAGTAGTAATAGATATAGTGAGGGATTTGTGACCTTGGGTGATCAAGTCATTAATAAAAGTACATATTTTAGATATCTTTAATATATTGTTCAAAGTAATGGTGAAATAGATTGGGATATTATTAGCAGAATTCAAGTTGGATGGTTGAAGTTGAGGAATGCTTCAGGCCTATTGTGTGATAGAAAGGTACCCCTCAAACTTAAAGGAAAATTCTATAAGATGATGGTGAGACCTGTAATGCTTTAAGGTGCAAAATGTTGGTCATTAAAAGAGAAGCATAAAGTTAAGTCTTACAAAGATGAGAATGCTCAGGTAGATGAGTAGCTTTACTCTTAGAGATAGAATGCAAAACGAGTATGTATGTGAAAAGGTTGGAGTATGGCTAATAAGATTAGAAAAAGTCACCTTAGATGGCTTGGACACATAAAATGTCAGCCTTCTGATGACTCAATTGAGAGAGTAGATGTATTAGATTTGACCTATGTTAAGTAAGGTAGAGGTTGACCTAAAAAGACTTGGCTAGAAAATATTAAAAATGACCATTTTTTCTTAGTTAAATTTAAATGAGAATTTGATTTTTAATATGACACAATAGAGAAAAAGGATTATTATTACCAACCCCACAATGGAATATAGGCTTGATGTTGTTGTTATCGTTATCATTACTTTCTTTTTTGCATTTTATACAACTATTTATAGCCCTCTTAACTCAATTATAGAATTATATTCACATGTGGATGTATATTTTTGGCTAGCTCTTTCATCTTTTGCATTGTAGACTAATATGTACAATCTTGTAAACTAAATTTTCGAGTTAATACACTTTGGTATAGATATTTTCTTTGACAAATTCTTCCAAGTTGTTATGATAGATAAAATTGTGAACAATCCAATACACTCAATTATAGAGTTGTGCACACTTGTGCATATGCGTGTCTGTATTTGTGTGTGTGTGTGTGTGTTTTTTTTTTTTTTTTTTTTTTTTTTTTTTTTTTTTTTTTTTTTTTTTTTTTTTTTTTGTGGCTAATTCTCTTTATTTGTGTGTTATAAATAATTATATATAATCTTATAAACTTTATTTCAATTTCAATAATGTACAAGTGTTGTGGAGCAAGTTCTATTTTTATATAGTATAATATGTATGTATGTTTTCTGGCATTTTTTCCCGTTTATTTATTTTATCACTTATATCAAACTTTTTAGATATAATCTTCTTTATAAATTCATATTTCAATATCATACGTACTTGTGTAACTGTATTTAGAAAAAAATTCTATAGTATGTTTTATCACTTGCATTAAATTTTCCATAACATATTTGTCCCTGTAAAGTTAGTTTTAGAGCTATAGACCACAAAGGATGACAGAATTTACTCCAACATATATATATATACAACTTTCTAGAACAAAATTTTATGTATTAAAAGATCATTTTTGATACGGCATCACAAAATTAGCTTGATCTGGCACGAATCTCGAGGCAAAAGCTAGTTGGAAACTACAAAAATTAATTTTGGGCGCACTCGAACTCTGATTTCAGCGAGCTTACAGTCTTCCAGGACGCAACAATTTTAAAAAGTATCAAAAAAGTTGTCACAAACGAAACCTAAATTGCACAGGAGCACCATACACGGCTCTAAAATTGATTTATAGGATTGCACGCACTATATAAATCGCAATAAAACGATCAAAATGAACAACCATCAAAATTTCTATGAAGGAAGATGTTCTTTACAACGAGAATTACTAAATTATTTTCCGCACATCACCTCATGATCAACTTTATAAAAAATTGCCGTCATCACAAATAAACCCCAACTATTCTTCCATTTCACTAAGAAGATCAAACATTCCAAACTTGAACAAAAATATACTACTCCTGTGAATAAAACAAGCACACAAGTTGCACATCATTAGACCATTATCTAAAATGTTTTAAGGCTCTAGTACATGATGCTATAGAACTGCCAGAAATGCATGAGACTCCTGAAAGAAAAATCCTCCTTAATTCTTTTTGTAATCACCATTAGACTCATCTAGTTAGAAAGGATTTAAAACTTGAAAGAATCACTCAGGTTTTGAGAGAAACCATTGCGCTTTGTTCTTATAGCTGATTTTAAATATGTGAGACCATTCCAAAGGAATGCTACTCAAATAAGCATACAAGGTTACAGACACCACAAAGGAGGGTTTAAGCCTTCATGGCATTATACAGAACCAACCATTATTTCTATTTTCACAAAGCATTACCAACATTACACACATAATCATGGTCTATTAAGGGTTTTCTTGAGTCAGCCCATGGCATATTTCTGCGTCCAAGCTCTTGCGGTCTCCTCGTAGCGGCTCCGTTGGTTCTTGTAAATGTGAGCGATTTCGGGGACGAGGGGATCGTCAGGGTTTGGGTCTGTGAGGAGAGAGGAGATGGAAAGGAGAACCTTGGATATGGTCAGCGCAGGGCTCCATTGCTCCTTCAGAATGTCTAGGCAAATGCTTCCATTAGAGTTGATGTTTGGGTGGTAAACCTGTGGAAAACATAACACATTGATGGAGGAAGAAATTAGTTTAGGATATTATGATACAAAATCTATCAAAATAGATTATATCGGTTCAATTTATGTTGAGATTATTACTACATATAATATCTTGCGTTGCTTTAATCACAATGTTAATCGGATGGCTTTAAATCCTCACGCAATTTATTTTCGTGGATTAAGTATTTCACCAAATCATGACAGAAGAATGTTGCTACATGATTTAACCAACTTTGTCAACATAATACTGTGTAAACATAATCGTGAAGATATATCAAGAATGTGAAAAATTATTATGTGCAGAAGCCGAATCCCGTCCGGATACCTAAGCCCGCGGCTCGGTACTGCTCGGTATCGGGGCTCGGTACCGTTTGGTACTGCGGCTCGGTATTGCTGACGTGACTCATTCTGATTGGTATCCGGATATAGGGCGTCCGCACAGAATAATCTCTCCAAGAAATGTCAACAAAGTTGAGAGCACAAGCTACAGGAAAGGTAAGCTGGAAACAATAAGTTTCTTAACAGTAAAATCAAGGATGATGTTGGAATTTATTTATGAAACATATGGAGAGTATAAATTAATGATACTCTAATATTTGAAATTATTCTAGTTTCTAGCTCATAAAATACATAAATGCATTTTAAAATACAACCATAATTAATAAAAGAGCATAGTTACATCTATATGCTTTATGCTGACACTAACATAAATTCAAGCATTATTGAGAGTCAAAACCAACATGATCTAGGTCTACAAAATTTGCTTTTTTTTTTTTTTAATTAACAAAAATGACTGAAGCTTATTAATAAGGCTAAAATGGAGGATGAAAATGGGTTTGAAAATCTTCGAACCAAAATGGGTTTTTTTGGTTGATTCAATTTGGTTTTAGAAATTATAAATTTTCAATTTAATAATTTAAAATGTTCTATTATTAGTTATTCACTCAATTTTGAGCTTCAAAAAACTGATTAAAATGACAAAAGAAGTCTTAAATTGAGGTTGATAATAAAAATAACAGAGCGAATAAAGGATAACTGGGAAGTACATCCGGAGAAAAGATATATCGCGTATGTGCATATATTACTTTCAAAATTTCCAGTTCCTCTTTCATGTAAGCCGAGGACTCGAAGCTGCCAAACTGCCAAGTTAGTGCGGTGATAAATCGAGGATGAAATATTAAAGGTGTGTTCTCTAACCCTTAGCAACATCGGAACACATCGCAACCCATAGATTCCATTTTCAGCGAGGTTAGAGTTCTTAGGGTTTTGGTGGTTCCCATTGATGGGGGAACCAGCAGGAGGGCAAAAAAAACCTTGGTAGGATGTTTTGGAGAAGCCAAGGTGAAGCACTTAGAACCATCAAAAAGGCAAAAAGCCAAGGGTTTCTTGCAAGCAACCTTCGACAAATCTCCAAGATATGTTATTACAAATCTTCTAGGCGTGTCAAAACGGGTCAATGGGTCAGGTTCGGATTCAACCCGAATTGGCCCAGGTTCAAAACTTCAAATAAGTTGACACTAATCCGACCCGGTTGTACAAATGGGTCGGGAATTACAATCTGGACCTGACTCACCGGGTTACCGGGCTGACCCGATGATGAGGACATCCGCAGAAGGTTCCGACACAGGTACCATCGGAGAGGTCGTCGAGCGACGGTCATAATTTAACAGCTTTATTTTTTAGACTTTATTTTATTCATGTCATTTGTATTTCCTTTTTTTTTTTCATTTGTACCCCTATGAGGGAAGTAGTGTTTGTTGTAGCCCAAGGGCAACGTCGTCTTTTATTTTCTTATGTTTGTTGAGCCTATATAAAGGCTTGATCTTTGTATTGTTGGATTATTGATTTGATGAATGAAAATTTTCTTACTTTTGTTCTCTTTGTGAGTGCATGAAGATCTCTTGGTGAGTTCTTCAATTGAGATCTCTTAGTGAGTTCTCTAAAATTTTCTTTTCTTTTAATTACCCTCTCTTACCCACAAGAAAAGCTCCACATACAACTCCCTCTAGCTGTTGCCGCCGACCCCCCCTTGGGTTTCCCGCCGCCGGCCAAGGCTCCCATCTCCGGCCGCCCACCTTGCCAACGCCCCTCACCAACCGACCTCCGTCCACCCACCTCCTCTCCGCTCATTTCGGTTTGGAATTTGAAAATTCAAAATTTCAAATTCTTCCCAAATTTTGAAAGTTTGTAAATGAATCCAAATAGAAAATAAAATTAATTTGGATTTCTTTAAAACTTATCCTAGTCATCATGCCATGGTTAGAAACCTTCCCCCCCTCTCTCCCTAACTCCCTCTTCCTCCAGTAATGCCGCCGGCCCCCCTTAGGTGGAAATTCCATTAATTAGGGATTTAATTTCTCCCTAATTAAATCTAAAATTTCCTCTCCCTCCAATTACATCCAAAACTGAAAGTAATTTCAGTTTTCAAAGTTCCCCCTCCCCTCTATCTCTCCCGCCGGCCCTCCCCCCCATCATGGCTCCAATTAATTGAAAATTCTTTGACTTAATTACCTCTTAATTGGAAAATTCAAATCCCAAAATTTTCCTCCCAATTCCCTTAAACTGAAACTAATTTCAGTTTTCAAACAAAACCTTCACCCTTTCACCCTAGCTCTACCGCCGGCCTCCCTCCACCTCTTCAACCCGCCGACCCCCTCTCCCTCCCTTTGGAGAGCTTCTCGTGGCGACCGCCCATCTTCGCCTCCATGTCGCATGGCGGATCCCGAGCTAGAATGGGTGCTTGTGTTTGATGCCCAAGGTAACCTTGCTATACTACGATCGCCTTTCTTTGACGCGGGATTTGAATCCTACGAAGACACCGTGGGAGATTACTTGGATCGGATCCTCCCGACCCTCATCCAAGTTATTGATAGACAACGTCCAGACTACAATTGGACCATTGACGGCCAATCTTCCACACCACCTCCACATCCGGCACCTTCCTCTCCTTCCCTACGGATCTACGGCACCGTCGCCCTCGGAGTGGTTTCATCACTTGTGTGGTTATTCTTCTTCTAACAAACCTAGAAGTAGGTAAATGAGCGTAACCTCAAGATGAGACAATCGCTTTGTTAACCGCCAGATTCTAGTTGGCTTTTCATTTGCTTTACTATTTATTACCGTCGTTATTTTATAGATCTTGCTAATTTAAGTGTAAACTCTTGCCTAAGCGTAGTTGAATTCTAAGATCTTTGAGAAGCTTCAATTGTGAACAACATTAAGATTGCAATTTCATTATTTGAACAAGAATTTTATTAATTTTCTAAATCCAATTCCTGGTTTCACATCACCCGACCAGACCCGCTAACCCGAAATATCAGAACAAGATTGGGCAGGGTCCGCACAGACTCAATCGTGAGCAAGAGGGAGCGTGCAGACGTGGCGGCAAGTGGGTCCATGTGCGATGCTGGTGCTAGAGCGGGCTAGGTTTGATTCACGGGAGTGAGCGCAGGAGGGCGCGGTCGTAGTTGCAAGTGCATGTCCCAGCCCTCCCACAGCGGACACGAGTCGCGAGCGCAAGAAGGCACGATTTGGTGCGAGCGCAGGTCTAGCTCCGACAACAAACGCGAGTGCAGGAGTGTGTGATAGAAAAGTCCCCCTCAAACTTAAAGGAAAAAATCTATAAGATGGTTAGACCTGCAATGTTTTATGGTGCAGAATGTTGGCCATTAAAAGAGAAGCATAATATTAAGTGTTGCAAATATGAGGATGCTCATGTGGATGAGTGGCCTTATTCTTATAGATAGAATACGAAATGAGCATATATGTGAAAAGGTTGGAGTAGCTCAAGTGGAAGATAAGATTAAAGAGAGTCACCTTAGATGGTTTGTTCACATAAAACGGTGGCCTTCCGATGACCCGGTTAGGAAAGTAGATGCATTATATTTGACTTATGTTAAAAAAGGTAGAAGTAGACCTAAAAAGACTTTGATTAGAAGATATTAGAAATGATCTTTTTTTATTAAATTTAAATAAGAATTTAACTCTTAACATGATTCAATGGAGAAAAAGGATTTATGTAGCCGACTCCACGGTGAGATAAAGGCTTAATGTTGTTGTTGTTTTTATTTGCGTAGGTAAGTAAAGATTTCACAACATACGTAATCGGTCATTTTTATTTTTTTAGCAGATCCATAACAAATTATTATTAAAAGAGGAATATTCCTTATTCTGATTGGGCGAGTTCTATTCCTAAGAAATATTTGATTTTGAATAACTCTTTGATCTTAAATTCTTCAACAAGGGTTTTCCAAAGAGACTCATTTTCTCTATTGTCATCACTTGTAATTATTATATTACTAATATATACAATGAGAATTAAAATTTTATCATTAATAGAGTATTTTATGAAGAGAGTATAATCTCTTTGGCATTATTTGTAACTAGATCGTTTATGATTGTTGTGAATCTATCAAACTATGCTCTCAATGATTATTTAAGGCCATATAGAATCCTTTTTAATTTACACATTTATTTTTTCTGAAAGAAAAATCAAATCTAAGTAGTGGGCCCATATAGAGTTCTTCAACATACCCATATAAAAAAACATTCTTTACATCATGTTGTTGCATGGACCATCCACGATAGCCACAAATTAATTCTCATGGCAATCTATGATATGCCTTTCAATTATAAAAATCACAACCATAACGAATCTTCAGGCAAGAACACAAATTGACTCTCAAGTACCAAATGATTTCTTCAGATGAAAATTATGAATCTTTAAATGACAAATGCCACATATTTTCTGTCCCAAAGTTCAGTCTACAACAACTATGCAGACAGGAAAAACCAAACTAGTACTTATTTGAGTTTGTAGACAACCAGTAACACTTAATATGAAAAGTGGATTTCAGGTCGAACCTGCAAGTGTATAACTCAAAAAAAGGATAGAAATCATTCTACTCGTTGGTAAGTTGACATGCCTATATAAGTGCATTGACATGCTCAAATAGCCTATTTTAAATCAACAATTAAACTGAGGGATTGTATCCATATCCAAAAACTAATTCAAAATGGCATTCATGCAAGAATTATCAGGGAAAAAAAATCTTAATTTTATCAGCACGCACTTGCCGTCCGTATACAATAAGCTACAGATTTAAGAAACATTCTAGTAACTAGCACTTTCAAACCATGTCTGCGTGCAAGAAACCAATTTCAGAAGTATGAATTTCCAACAGTACAAACAGTGCGGTTCAGGTTTAGAATTACATAGCTTTCCATAGATTTGAAGCGTGAATTATAGTTGAGACTCAAATCAAGCAACCCTAAGAATTATTCTGCATAACCTTATTGTAACTGCTAAATGTTGTGATAATACTGATAGTACAAATAGTCAAATATTCAAATAAACAACTAAGACTGTAATTTTGTAATGCATAATTAAACATGATACAGTGTAACTAATCTTATTCAAAAAGGATCTTAGCGTCACTTTCTGTTCTCATTACCCAAACGGTGTGTAATATATTGGTGCATGAAAACCTGATAATACAAGATGCTACAGTCATTAGTATATTGGAGAAAACAAACACAATGGTGCAAATAAACAGTGATAAAATAAAAAGCATGCCAGCACATTTAACTGAGCCATATGAATAAAAACTATGCCATGAAAAGGAAAATAATATATTGGGAATTAACTTATTGGAAAGGGGTCTTCTCTAACCTTGGTCTGAAAGTTAACCTTGGGGGGTTTGAATGGGTAATCAGGAGGGAAATGAATCTTAATAAAGAAAACCCCTCCAGTATAAGGGCTTTCGGATGGACCCATAATAGTTGCCTGCCAATGAAACAGATCTTCACCAACAGGTCCAGCACTGCACGATGTTGGAGGATCCTTCTGCAGATCCTGAAGTTCCTTTTGGATACGCTTGCTAGCCATTATGCCTCCTATTTTTAATTAAAAAAATAAAAACTATAATTCAACATGAACTGTCACAGAAATTATAACAAACAGTGCATATAGTATGTCATCAACAGTCCTGGACTTAAATCAAGACAACCAACCGTGTCAAAAACTATTGTAATACCTAAAGGATAAAACCAAGAAACCAGATCATGCAGTTTTTATAATGAATTCAACATGATAAAGCTTGAAAAATAAATGAACAAGAGTAGCGTTCCAATGTAAGTCGATAAAAACTAACTGGTATTTCAACCAACATACCCAAAAAAAAATTCTTAAGGTTTTGAACACCAACACTACACCCAAAAGCCAAAATTGTTGATAAAAATGGGGGTATATGCATTAACTTTAAACAATAATTGAATGGGAAATCCAGGAAAAGTGCTCGTAATAGAAAAAATTTACAAGCTGGCACAACAAATCGCTTCATATGTTCCTTTCAAGAGGAGAAAAATAGATGTGTGGTATTTTATTATTTTAGATTATATTTATCATACAAAAATAAAGGATCCAAGGTAATTAGCTCATTGATCTCTCACCAAAAGATTGACAGAGTGACATGCTCCATGCTTGTCCAAACATGCCAAACCCCAAATCATCTAGATTTGTAAACCAAGTAGCAGAAAAGCTTTTTCCGTGCATCTATTTGACAGAAAATTTGCAAACTCCGTATAATTATCCCCTTTGATGAAACAGGCAAGATTTGTCAAGTATTATATGTATGTCCTCTACTCCTCTTGGCCCTCATTATTTTAGAAACATGGGACAATTATATATCTATTTTAGGGGTTGTTTGGCTGGCTTAAAAAGAATGCAAAGTAAAAAAAGAACATAGTGTAAAAGGAATACTTTGAGAATGTTGGGATGAGTGTAAAATGAAAACATGAGATTACTTTTTATTGTTTGTTTTGAAGTAGAATAAGTGCAATATAAAGTCCAAAGTGAGTGGAGGGCGGTTGTGATCGGCAGCAGGCCATGATGGTCGGCGCCGTCCGGAGGTGGGCGATGCCCGATGGCGGCGATGGCGGTGGTTTGCAGTGGCAGTTAGTGGCGGTCGTGGTCGGTGGTTGGCAACAACGGTGGCGGTGGATGCCGGTGGCTAGCGATGGGGGACGACTACAAAGGCAATAAATTTTACAATGCATGTGTTTTACTTCAAACTAGGAATGCAAATTAACCGAGCGTTCGACAAGCTACTCGTGGCTGGGCTCAATAAGAGCTCGTTTATATTCATTTGATAGGTTAAACAAACAAGTTTGAACACCTTTGATGGATACTTGCTAGGTAAATAAACAAGCTCGAACAATCTGGCATTCGACCTTTTATGATCACGAACAATATCATTTAGAGCTCGTGAACATGTTCGATAAAGAAGCTCATTATGTCATATTTTATTAAAAATAAATATTATATCTTATTTGACTAATAAGATAATTAAATCTCATGTTATTTAACAAATTTTATTATATATATATATATATAATTTAAAAAAAAAATAAGAAACTTATTGAATAATTTTTTTAAGAAAATAACCTCTCTTTATTCTCGCCTGCCCTTTCTCTCTATATCTAAAGTTTCACTTTTTTTCATTCTCCCGCCCGCACTCTTTCTCTCTCCTCCGTGGCATCAACACTCAACAAAAAAAAAAAAAAAAGCTGTGGGGTGTTGTCCCACACCGCCTGGTGAGACGTTTTTTTGCTATGTAAAAACAAATGCATGTGAAGACCATTTGTTAGATAGCGGACGGACATGTTGCAGGCATTATTTCTGGGCAAGTCGGTGGCTACTCAACTTGATTTTAATAAAGAATTTATTTTATGTTTGAGGTCGGCTCGGTTCCCTTAATAAGCCACTCGATGAGCTTGAAGTTAAACAAGCTCAAATTGAACACGAGCCGAACTCGAACATGGGAGTTTTATACGAGATTGAGCTCGAATGGTTGTTCAAGAAGCTCGACGAGCTTTGAATTGAGCTTGAGCACTATTTTAACAAACGAGCTTGAACTCGAAAAGGGTGAAGCTCGGCTCAGTTCAGTTCATTTACTGCCCTACTTCAAACCAAACACCAATATTCTAAAACCCCTGCATTTGAAATACTTTACACCCATTTTACATCAAACCAAACAGCTCCTTAATAACAACTTAATCATCTTACCATCTCTTTTTTTTTCTCTTTGCTCCTTCCGAAGAACCATTCCCCCACCAGCTGTCTCAGCTAACAATAGTGACTGCTCTCTGCAAAAAGCTAACACAAAATTGTAGTCCCCCAATGCAAGATTATTCTGTAAAAAAGCTAGAATCCTGTGTGAATTTGACGTAATCAATCTGTAGGATCTGGTGTTTCGAAAGGATCAATATGTATTCCACGCAGCCATCAAACCAAGTATATGCTTGGCTTGCATCCATCCTAGCATGCCCACAGATGGGTTGGTGCAACAAAGAAATTTCTACCTAAGAATTGAAAACAAGGCATGGCTACCAAGAAGTCGCGCAACCAGACATCTATGACTGCGTTGGTGGCAAGCTAGTAATACATGCCTCTTGTTGGCTGTGATCCAGACAGGCTTAACTTGGTTGAAACAAGATCATGAGAGGTATTCTGAAAGAACATGAAATCCTTTAGACGATTTGCGACTAGAATTGGACATGTATGGGATCCTGTACTTTTCTGGAAGAAAAAACTCATGAAAGTGAACCTGTAGAAATCTCATGATAATGAGTTTAAGATTCTATTCAAACACACTGAAGCAAGCTATTTGTAACGGTCCAAACTCACGTATTGAGATATTGTCAGTTTTGGCCTAAGGGCATCACGGTTTTGTCTTGTTAGTGCAACTTCCCAGGAGGTCACCCATCCCAAATTTCTCAGGGATGAGCATGCCTAACTGCGGTATCTTAAATGAAATTTCAACTATTACACGAAAAGGCATCTCGATGTTTAAGAGTTTAGCTTTTTTTACTGAAGGGTTTTCACAATTCCCCCACTTACGTAAGTAACATCCTCGTCGGAATCCCTATCCCAGAATCATCCACCAGGAAAATAGGATTCTAAAGATTGCCGCTATAAGTTCAAGTGGTGACTCTCACCACATAACATTTTATCGCATATAGGGATCAAGATGTCATAGTGTAGCACTTTGTCTTATATGACACTTAGTTCCCATATTCCAACAGGTGTATTACTCTGATATCATTTTTGTAACACCCCATGACCCCTTACCAATAACGCATAGTATAACAGAGAAAACATAACATTCATAATTCTCAACATCTAATACTTTTGATTATTTGAATACTTATGCATTTTCCATCCACTGAATAATAAATTTTCTAAATAAACGGAATCATCTAAATAGTCCTAATTTCATTACAAAAATAAGTACATAACTACTAATAAAAATCAACATACATTACCACAATTTAATATAGTACATTCCTCACATAAATACTCACAAACATTGTTAAATAGAAAACCTAAATATTCAATAACCTGAGCCTAATCTGCTTCAACTTTTCCCTTGCCTTTCCCTCTAACGACATCCAGTATAAAAACTTGTAAACTATGAAGTTTATAAAGTTATATAATTTAAATAAGAAATTAAATGTAAGATTATAGAAAATAACATAATTGAAATCATAACAGAATAAATCCACAAATATTTGCAAAATAATATAAAATCATATTTATGATCATTTTTTTATTTCATTTGAAGCCCGTACAAAATATCATAATTAGTCTTCTAAGGTTATAGCTATTATTTTTCATATAGTTAGCTTTCATAAGAATGTTCAATGGAGCCCAGGTAAACCCGGCATTATCATCATTGAACAACATAGAGATCCATTTTGACCTTTCGGGGTCCCTTTTGTCCCACCTACAACCCAGGTATTATATCATTTGTTAGTCAATCTTTCCTAATTTAATATTCATTAGGCTTCAAAATTAAGAACTTATACTTGTTTTGTCATGCTTCATGTTTTCATATAAAAATTTTATCAATTGTACTCTTTGTATAAAAATAATATGTTTGCAACATACAGTAAAAAAAATTCTTTCCAAAATATTACCAACTAAAAAAACATATAAACAATCATACTTTATCTTAGTTTAAATTCCAATTATTCAAATGTGCATGAAGTTACTTATATATGAATACTTGGATGTATGCTCATATTTACTAAATTGAATCATCTTAATGCATTTATCTATTCAATTAAATTAAATATAGTTGTATGTATCTAGAATTAATAGCATTTGTTTTCTAAATTTAGAATTGCTCCAATTAAAAGTTTTCCTAGTTGGTAATATTTTAGAAAGAATTCATTACACTGTATGTTGCATACATGCTATTTTTATCCTAGCAATATAGTTAATAGAATTATTATATGAAAGCATGAAGTATGATAATGCAACTATAAGTACTTTGAAGCCTAATGAATATCAAATTAAAAAAGGTTGGCCATAAAATGATATAATACATGCGTTACAAGTGAGGCCAAAAGAGACCTCCAATATGAAACCTGTGTTGCAGGTCGGACAAAAGAGATCCCGAAAGATGCAAAAGAGACATCTATGTAGTTCAATGGTGATAACGATGAATTTACTTGGACTCCATTGAATATTTTTATGAAAACTAATTATATGAAGAATAATAGCCAGAACCTTAGAAGACTAATTATGATATTTTGTACAGGCTTCAAATAAAATAAAAGATAATCCTAAATATAATTTTATAATATTTTGCAAATATTTGTGAGTTGATTCAGTTATAATTTCAATTATGTTATTCTCTAAATCTTGCATTTAAATTCTTATTTAAATTGTATAACTTTATGAGCTTTATGAGCTTTATAGCTCACAAATTTTTATACTGACTGTTCTTACTGAGAAATGAAACAAAAAAGATGAATCAATTTACGCTCAGGTTATTGAATATTTATGTTTTATGTTTAGCAGTATTTGTGAGTATTCATCTAAGATATGT